ATATGTGATAACATTTGAGTCAGTAGCGATGTTTGTAGATCTCTTTTAGCAATGCGACCTCTTATTTACTGTTTTGCTTTCTTCATGCCTCTGTTGTAAAATTATTAATGCATGCTCCGTAGCTCGTTGATTAGAACTAGAAGTTGTGTGTAATATGCGAGTGTTAGACAATAGTGACAAAGTTAAACGGTAAGGGATCGTTGTTCATGGTCTGTCTGTTATAGCTTTTAATTAACTATGTTTCCCTTGATCTGCTTGTAACTATAATCACAGTGTACTAGATCCTTAAAATATAAAATCTAGAGTTAGTTAGCATCATGCATGTTAGTTATAAGTGCACTAGAATATTGTTTGTTTTGTGTTCTGTTAGATACATATGTAGCTGTTAGAGATTTTTCAACTGTCTGTACTTCAGTTTCGCCAATAAATCAAAATACGTAATGTGCTGTCTTCTATTATTTATCTTTTTCATGGGGATGTTGTCTGATTCGCCCCTATGCAAATCAGCACAATGCCATGTAACATGATATTTTCAACAATAAATTCAGGAACGTAATGTGTTATTTCTTTATTGATTACAGACTTATTGTGGCAGTGGCAGGTCTTCGACCTGTTCGGGCATGACGCACCCGCCATACACGAGTCAGGGGTAGGAGGAACCCCTCATATCCTTGGCTGGAAGTCCTCCTAGGAGACGGATACTCCGAATAAAAAAGCTGCACCTGCCGGGGCCGTCTTACACGTGGCAGTCTTTGCACCTGTTGGACTTTGAGCGCCGGTCAGGCAAGAGGGTGGAAAAGGATCGTATGGCACACCCCCTTTTCACCTTAAAAAGTCATTGTGCCGGTCAGGCAAACAGGTCGCCGTATAAAAGCTAGGCGCCATCAAATACCCAGCTTAGTCAAAAGTCCTGTGGCGATGGAGAAATGGTGACGGGAACAGGCAGAGGATGCTGCTGGGAGTTCTTAGCCACGACTCTGCACGCAGGCGGCTGTGGGGTGATGGTCGTCCACTGTAGACTGTGGTAGATGCAGTGCCCGTATCCTCCCACAGCGACAGAGCAGCTCTATTCAGGGGTAGCACTGCTCTCCCTACAAGGGGAAGGGGAGAGAAAAGGATCCCTAAAGAAAGCCTACCACACGTACACACCTGGCAGGAGACCGTGCCTGTCTGGTCATTCAACTTAACGGTCGAGACAAGAGAAGAAAGAAATTGAGGACGCCCCTGATTTTTGGGGCTTGGAATGTGCGAACCCTACTAGACAGAGGAGATAGACCGGAGCGACGCACTGCGATCATTGCCAAGCTGCTGGGCCAGTACCAGATCGATATAGCAGCCCTGAGTGAGACCAGATTCTCTGGAGAAACTCAGCTAGAGGAGATAGGTGGAGGATATACCTTCTACTGTGTCGGGAAGCCTGAAGGCACCCCAAGGACCTCTGGTGTGGGTTTTGCTATTCGTACTGAGATCGCAAGAAAGCTTGACAACCTACCTCGTGGCATCAATGATAGACTGATGACCCTGCGCCTCAAGCTTAATAAAGACTGCTTTGCTACCATAATTAGTGCTTACGCACCCACTATGACAAACTCTGATGACGTTAAGGAAGCCTTCTACGAGGATCTTAACCATGTCCTCTCGGAGGTAAACAGCAAAGACAAGCTGATCCTCCTCGGAGACTTTAACGCACGAGTTGGAGCCGATTCCGCCTCCTGGCCGAATGTGTTAGGACGTCACGGCACCGGCAAGTGCAACTCCAATGGACTGATGTTACTGTCGTTGTGTGCCCAGCACACACTCTCCATCACTAATACAATCTTCCAGCAAGCCAACAAGTTCAAAAACACCTGGATGCATCCGCGATCCAAGCAGTGGCATATGTTGGATTATGTTATAGTACGCCAAAGAGATAGATCTGATGTCCACAGTACACGCTGCATGAGAGGAGCCGAATGCTGGTCTGACCATCGTCTGCTCCGGAGCAAGATGAACATAAACATAGCCCTGAAAAAGAAGACAGCGAGGGAAAAGCCCCCCCGGAAACTTAACCTTGTGCAACTTAACATCACCAAGGAAGCACTACAGCAAAGGCTCCAGGAATCCCTGTCCGCCACCGAACAGGGCCAAGACAACCTGGAAGAGGAATGGAGGATCTTCCGAGAGGCTGTCTATGGGGCCGCAGCTGATACCCTCGGCTTCGTTAGGAGGAGACACAGGGACTGGTTTGATGAAAATGAGGAAGGCATACAAAAACTCATTGACAATGTGCACAAGGCACACAAAGGTCACCTCGATGACAGCCATGACACAAAGAAGAAGCAGGATTATCAACAGGCAAGACAACTCCTGCAGCAGAAACTGCGAAAGATGAAAAACAGCTGGTGGGAAAGGAAGGCTGAGGAGCTTCAAGTCGCAGCTGACATTCACGACATGAAGGCATTCCATGACGGGCTGCGTGCCGTCTATGGACCCAAGGCATCAGGTTCAGCCCCAGTAAGAACCTCTGACAAGTCAACTCTGCTAACCCAGAAAACCGACATTCTTGCCCGCTGGGCGGAGCATTTCAGCAGTGTCTTGAACAGACAATCGACCATCTCCGAAGAGGCGATTGAATCTCTACCACAGCTACCAACAAAGGAAGCGATGGCAGATCCACCAACCAGTGCAGAGGTTGTTAAGGCCTTAAAACAGACAACATCTGGAAAGGCACCAGGATCAGATGGGATTCCTGCTGACATCTATAAGAATGGAGGTGACGTCCTCACGGACAAACTAGCATGCCTATTCAGGTCCATCTGGGAAGTGGGAGAGGTCCCGCAAGACTTTAAGGACGCAACCATAGTGCACATCTACAAGAGGAAAGGGGATAAGACATCTTGCGACAACCACCGTGGGATCTCGCTCCTGTGTATTGCTGGGAAAATCCTCGCCAGAGTCATACTCAATCGACTTATTACAAATATTGCGGAGACTGTTGTTCCTGAATCACAGTGCGGATTCCGTGCTGGTAGAGGTACCAGTGATATGGTTTTTGCTGTGCGACAGCTACAGGAAAAATGCCGCGAGCAGAACCAGGAGCTCCACTTAGTCTTTGTAGACCTCACAAAGGCCTTTGATACTGTGAACCGGAAAGGTCTATGGAAGATACTGCAAAAGTTTGGCTGCCCAAGTAAACTTATAGCACTGATCGCCTCCTTCCATGAAGGCATGCAAGCCAGGGTCCAGGAGAATGGTGATGCCTCGGAGCCCTTCAAAGTGAGCAACGGAGTGAAGCAGGGCTGCGTCCTCGCCCCTACCCTGTTCTCCATCCTGTTTGCAGCGATGTTGCTTGACGCCTTCAGCAGTTGTGATAGAGGGGTGTACATCCAGTTCCGTACAGATGGGAAGCTATTCAACCTGCGACGACTACAAGCCAAAACGAAAGTGTTTGAGGCTATCCTGCGTGAGCTGCTCTTCGCAGATGACTGTGCACTTGCAGCACACTCCCACGGGGATATTCAGCACATAATGGATCGCTTTGCAACTGCTTGCGGACGATTCGGACTCACGATCAGTCTCAGCAAGACTGAAGCCATGTTTCAACCACCACCATCACTGGCTGCCACTGTGTCACTGCCCCCTCCCATTGTCATCAACAACACAGAGATCAAGACTGTGGACAAGTTTTGCTATCTGGGTAGCACAATTACAAGCAGTGGATCTCTGGATGCTGAGGTGACACAGCGCATTGGAAAGGCAAGCGTGGCATTTGGCAGGCTGACCAAAAGACTCTGGCAAGAACATGGCATCCGGCTCTCCACAAAAATTGCAGTGTACATAGCCGTGGTGCTGAGCACACTTCTCTACTGCTGTGAGACCTGGACTACTTATCGTCGTCACATCCAGTTACTGGAGCGGTTTCAGCAGCGGTGCTTGCGGAACATTTGCAACATCAGGTGGCAGGACAAGGTGGCAGGACAACCTACAGGTTCTGGAGAAGTGTGGCCTCACAAGTGTTGAGTGCATGATCGTGAAGTGCCAGTTAAGATGGGCAGGGCATGTTGTCCGCATGGAGGATAGCAGAATCCCAAAAGTACTGTTATATGGACAACTGAAGCAAGGGCAGCGAAACCTGGGAAGACCGCTCAAAAGGTACAGGGACAACCTTAAGGCAAACCTTAAGAGCTGTAACATTGACGTCAACTCCTGGGAAGAAATCGCCCATGACAGAACTGCGTGGAGAAGCCAGTGTACACTGGGCACTAGGACTTTCGAGGCCAACAGAGCAGCTACCATAAAGGAGAAGAAAGAGAGGAGGAAGCAATGCTCCATCCCTGTCCAGTCCTTTCCTTGCAGCATCTGTGGCCGCTCATGCGCGTCAAAAATTGGTCTTCACTCCCATATGAGGACCGACATCGGCAAATGAGGACCTGTATATACGCCTACTCATCTGTCGCAAGCGACAGGAGATTCCAAGAAGAAGAACAGACTTTATTGTTAGTTTCCAACTCGGTCTCTTTTTACTTCGAATAATGTGTACTCTCTACATGATTCCACTGTAAAGTGAACAATAGCGGCGACTTTATATCACATCGATGCATGCTTCGTAGCCATTGACGTCATATGTTGAATTCAACATTTATTTTATTTCTGTAGGTTTGACCAACATGGCGACCAGGGCTGAATCCTGTCAGAAACAAGAGGAGGGAGAGAATGGACATGGGGCTCAGAATTCCCACAAGTGTGGCGAGTGCGGTAACGAGTTTCATGACCGAGGTACTATGAGGAGACACTTGCGGACTCACACAGGTGAAAAACTGTATCGATGTGAGAAATGTGACAAAAGCTTCAGTCAGCTGTCTTATCTGAAGACGCATGTGAGGACTCACACAGGTGAAAAACCTTACAGTTGTGAAGAGTGCAGCAAGCAATTCAGCGACCTTAGTCATCTGTACAGACACATGCGGACTCACACTGGTGAAAAACAGCACAAGTGTGAAGAGTGCGGCAGACAGTTCAGCAGGCTGGACAGTCTGAAGGAACACATGTGGACTCACACTGGTGAGAAACCGTATAGATGTGAGAAATGTGATAAAGGCTTCAGTCGGTCATACAGTCTGACGATTCACATGCGGACTCACACAGGTGAAAGACCGTATAAGTGTGAAGAGTGCGGCAGGTGTTTTGTTGAGCTGCGTGATCTAAAGACGCATATCAGAACTCACACTGGTGAGAAACCGTACAAGTGTGAGGAGTGCAGCAAGCGGTTTAGTGAGCTGGGTAGTCTGAAGACACACATAAGAACTCACACTGACGAGAAACCGTACATGTGTGAGGAATGCGGCAAGCAGTTTCGTCATCTGACAGGTCTAAAGATACACCTGCGGATTCACACGGGTGAGAAACCGTATCAATGTGAGGAATGCAGCAGGTGGTTCGGTCAGCTGAATCAACTGAAGTTACATATCAGAACCCACACCGGTGAAAAACCCTTCAAGTGTAAGGGGTGCAACAGGCAGTTTAGTGGTCCGTCTAGTCTGAACAGACACAAGCGAACTCACACTGATGAGAAACCGTACCGATGTGAAGAATGCGGTAAACAGTTTAGCAGGCTGGAGAATCTGAAGTTACACATGAGAACTCATACTGGTGAGAAACCGTACAGGTGTGAGGAATGTGGTAGACAGTTCAGTAGGCCGGATAGTCTAAAGCAGCACACGAGAACCCACACTGGTGAGAAACCGTACATATGTGTTGAGTGTGGGAGGTGTTTTGTTGGGCTGGGTGATCTTAATAGGCACCTTCGAACTCACACTGGTGAGAAACCGATGTGAGGAGTGCAGTAGATGGATCATCTGAAACAACACAGTCATGTACAATCATACTGGTGAGAAAAACGTACAAATGTGAGGAGTGTTGAAAGCAGTTGAGGGGATGCTTATTCTGAAGTCACGCACATAGACTCACACAGGATAAAATGTAGGAAAACAGTTGGGAACTGTAGCAAAATCTTTAGGCAATTATGTAATCTGAGTGCCAAGTAGACACGCATTCTCGAACAAGCATTTCACTGTTCATGTCAGGCTTATTACTATTATGTGATATCAATTGTGTCAGTAGCGAGGTTTGTAGATCCCTTTTAGCATTGAGACCTCTTATTTACTGCTTCTGTCGTGTACTTTCTTCTTTTGTAAAATATCTGTTGTAAAATTACGAATGCATGCTCCATAACTCGTTGGTTAGAACTAGAAGTTGTGTGTGAAATGCGTTTGAACAATAGTGACAAAGGTAAACGGTAAGGGATCGTTGTCCATTGTCCGTCTGTTATGTATATATATTTCTTTTTTTTAGCATTGTATACCTTAGACCCGATGTTAGCCCTTCTTTATCACTATTGTTGTAGTACACTCTAATACGTTTTACTCTGTACATCATGCATTTATCCCCCCGGGGAATAAACATGCATAAGTTTCATTTTCATTTCATTATATAATAGCACTTTATAAACTAGTTTTCTTTGATCTACTTTTAACTAACCACAGTGTACTAGATCTTTAGAATGTAAAATTCAGAGTTAGTTAGCAGCATACATGCTTGTTCTAAATGCACTAGAATGTTGATAAATATTGTTTTTTTGTGTTGTGTTTTTTAAAATCTTTTTCATGGGGATGTTGTCTAATTGTTGCCTCTATGCAAATCAGCGCATGCAACATGATAAATTCAACAATAAATTCAGATACGTTATGCGTTATTTCTTTATTGATTTCAAACTCTATTGGTAGTTTCCAACTCGGACTCTTTTTACTTCGAATTATGTGTAGTGCACTCTGTACACGATTTCACTGTAAATTGAACAATAGCGGCGATTTTATATCACATCGACGCATGCTCCGTAGCCTGTTGATACGAACTAGAACCCGTGGGTAAATGCGGCAGTGTAGTATTGTTAGAATAGTAACATGGTAGGACAGCTTGAAATCTTGTGTCTTTTAATCCTAGAATCAGTTGCAGCATGCATGTCTGTTATAACTGCATTCAGATGTTCCTCAGCATTTTTTTGTTACTTTTCGCAGGTACATGTAGCTGGCGGTGATTAATCATCTTTTTGCATCTTAGTTTCGCCAATAAATGAGTCTTACTAATAAATCAAAACACGTAATGCAGTCTTTATTGTTTTTCATCTTCATAGTCATTCTCCAAGTTAGGGGTGTTGTCTTTCTTGGGGTCTGATTCCCCCATTTGCAAATCAGCACATCTAACAAGATAGTTTCCATT